TATTTGGCGTGCTTTTCTGCTCTCTCTCTCTCCCCCAACCCTCTACTCGTTGACTGACATACAATATGCACACATTCTTACAGAAGGCAGATCATCTGATATATTATTTCATTACCTAATTTTTTAGCATAATTAAATGTAGCATATTTTATTTTTAACATTTTTGTGTAACAATTTTCTTAATGGCTGCACTACATGGTATTATATGGACTGCTCTAACGTGCGGGAATACTTTACTTAACCATTGTCTCATCTTTGCATTTGCTAGGATATTTTCAATTTCTCATTAATATGAATAAAGCTGCAAGGACCATCTATTGTTTTGGAAGGATAATGTCTAAAAGCAAAATTCCTGGGTCAAAGGGCATAAATATTTTGAAGATTCTTTGACATGTATGGCCCAGTTGCTTCCCTGAAATGTTGTATGAGTTGATACAGTTCTGCCATCACTGTATGAGAATGCTTACTACTCAGAATCTTCACTGTAGGGTATATTAGCTTTTTTTTAAACATTTTCCAGTTTTGTGAATAAAATAATGGACATTTTCATTTGGATTTCTTTGATTACTGCTGAGCCTATGTCACTTTTCATGTTAATTGGCTATTTAGAGGCCATAATGACTAGTACCTGTCTTTTTCTCATGTTAAGAAAAAAGGATTTTCTTTATCAATTTTTAATATATACATTTGTTCTTTGCTATTGCATAGCAAATATTTTTCTTTTAATTTCATTTACAGTATCTTTTAAATTTAAAAATTAAAATTTTTTATTTTGTAGAATTCTTCCACTGTATTTATATATTTCTTAAAATTCTTCATCCTGAGTTCAAATATTCACTTGTATTTTTTTCGAGTCCTACAAAGGTTTGATCTTTTATAGCTAGCCCTTCAAAAAATATATTTTAGGTATAGAATAAATGCAAAATAGGTTTAGAGTTTAAAAATAGCAAAATTGTTATTATTATGCCCACTATCTTGAAAAAGCCATTTGAGATTTTGACTGAAATTGCACTGAATCTGTAGATCAGTTTGGAGGGTTGTCTTTTGTACCAACATTAAGTCTTCTCCATGAACACTGTGTATCTCTCCTTTGATGATATCTTCACTAATGACTCCTTGTAAAGTATTACAATTTTCGAGATTTTTTTTTTTACCAGATTTGTTTTTAGGTACTTCATGGTTTTGAGGCTATTATAAATGGCCCCTTTTTCTTTTTGAATTCTGTTCATTGTTAGTGTAGAGGAGTTCAGTTGACTTTTAGATATTCAGTTGACATTTGCTCTTATATCCAACTAATGATGTTCAACTCTGTCTTCAAGTCTAATAATTTGTTCGGTTTGTATATCAATAAGGAAATTTTCTGTGAATAGTGACAATTTGTTTGTTCCTTTCCCATCCTATATCTTTTACTTTTTCTTATCTTACTGTACTGTTCTTACTTAGTACTGAATAAAAGTAGTGAAATCAGGCATCCTTGTTTCACTCCCAATCTCAGAGGGAAAGCTTTCAGTTTTACCATTAAGCATAATGTTTATTGTAGGTTTTTTACACTCTATATCAGAGTAAGAAAACCCCCTTCTATTCCTAGTTTGTAGAATTTTAAAAATCATGATAGGTGCTTGTTTTTTTCTGCCTTTATGAATAAGATCATACAGTTTTCTCCTTTGATTTGTTAGCTTTCTGATTTTAAACAGATTTGCATTTTTAAGATACACTCAATTTAAGCATTGCTAGATCCAATTTGCTAATATTTTATTCAGCATTTTTACATTCATATGTATGTATAAGAGTATTTGGTAATTATGATTTCTTATATTGTCTTTGTAAGATTTTGGTCAAGGTTATGCTGTTTTCATAAAATAACTTGAATAGCACTCCCTTTTTTGTGTCCTCTGGAAGAGTTTCTGTGAACTAGAGATATTTGTCTTTTTTTCCCAAGCTTTATTGAGATATATTTGACATATAACATTATGTAAGTTCAAGGTGAACAGTGTGATTATTTGATATATGTTTATATTGCAAAATGATTACCACAATAAGGTTTGTTAACATGTCCATTACCGCACATGGTTACCTTTTCCTTTTCTTTTCTTTTCTTTTTTTTGGTGGTGGTAAAAGCACTTAGGATCACTCTCTCAGTAACAGTCAAGTATACAGTACAGGGCTGTTAACTATATTCACGATGCTCTACTTTAGGTCTCCGGAAATTTTTAATCTTATAAGTGGAAATTTGTACTTTTCGACTACCGTTCCCATTTCTCCTACTTGGTTGGGAGCGGCAGTCCCCACCTTATAATTTTCAAGGTTAACTTCTTAGCATTACCAACAATGCATTTGAAAATTTTTTCTTTTAAAAATAAACTTACATAGCTTATTTTGTTGCTTTTGGAGAGAGGATCTATTGAGATTTCTAGTTCAACACACTGGCAGAAATGAATGCTTACTATGAGGTATCAGTTAGAGAACTAAAGTGTTTTTTTAGTTAATATTTTCAGCATCATGTATTAAATTACTCATTCTTGTTCACTGTCTTGGTTCACAAAAAGCAGAACATGAGACAAAGAGTTGCATGTAGTCCGTTTACTTAAGAAGTGGTCTCAGGGTGCTGGAGTGAGAAACAGATTTAATTTTATGTAAATTTCTTATAGATTTCAGTGCTTACGTCCTTTTACTATAACTAATTTTATTTTGAAATAGAAATTTTATTTTGATTCTTTTTTAGGTTGACTTAGGTACGTCTTTTGAATTATCTTCTTTCTATGGAAAATTCATGGGTAGTATGCTTTCTGCGGCCTTGCATATTTGAGAATCTGTCTTTCTGTTACTTTCACACATAATGACAACTTTGTTGGGTAAATCATCCCAAGGTCACAATTTTTGCCTCCACGATTCTGTAGACACTGCTTACGGTCTCTGACATCCATTGTTATCTCAGTACAGCCTGATAGCCTTGCTTTGCAGGGATCCAGTTTTTCTCCCTCTGCCTAGATAATTATAGTATTCTGTCTTTGGTACTGATAGTTAAAAACACTTATATCATTTGCATATCTTGGACTTATTTCAAGTTTTTCCTGGTACACAGTGATCACTAAACAATTAAAGTTTATTTTTCTTTTAATCCCAGGAAGGTTTTAAGCTGCTGTATGTTTGGATTTTTCTCTGTGTTAAATGTACTCTGGTCTTTTAAACACCACTTACATGTATGTTGGCTAGCCTTTCTCCTTCATATATGTGTTCTTTCATTTCTCATTTTTATTTCTTTGCCCTTTCTACCTATAGTCTGGGGTGAGTTCCATTTTGCTAATTTTTTTTTTCTTGCAGATCTCACTTGCTTCCAATGGCATTTCAAAAGGTAGTACGGCAATTACCTCTCCTCACTGCCTTTCTGTAGGCTTTTCAGTTCTTTTTATTAAAAAAATTACCAAACTTATCATTGTATCTTTTGCCTCTTCTTTCACAGATTTAATATTTCACTTGACTGTATTTAGTACACAGAGTTGATGCTGACAGTTTCCTCTTTTTCTTCAGTAACTAGTTTTCAGATGTGCTCTGCCTCTCCCTCCACAATGATATGCTCATTGTGAAATATTTTCAAATTTCTGCATGTCTTAATATGTTCCATGTTGGCATTGTTTTGTTACTGAGTATAAATTAGCTGTTTTTTGCTAAACATGGCAGGGATGGATTATCTTTGGGTTTTATCTCTGCATGCTGTTAGAATAATCACTACAAGAGCAGGAGGACTGGTTTATATGAGATACATTGAGCTGGTTCAGTGATCTAATAGCTTATAAATGAGGAGAAGTGGTGTCGTGCGGTGAGCCATCCTGATAAGGGAAAATAATCTCTAGATGGTCTCTTTGTATTTGATGGAGCCATTGATGTGGTGCCAGTTTTATGGTCATTTCTCATCAGCCCAGGTCCTGCTCCGGTATGCAGGTGACTCTGCCCAGTTCCTTTCCTGGTGCTGCTGTACCCCGGATTAAGATGGCCCCCTTGCATGCAATCTTCCAGTCTTCCTGTTGAGTGTGCTGGAGATGCTCTTCTGCTTCCTGGCATAGGTGATTTCTAATACTCTTGACCCATAGTCATGAAAGAGGTTCTCACTTGGAGGCTTCCCTTCTGCCCCATGACCTGCCCTGATTTCCAAATTAGGAATGTTTGTTAAAGTGTCTAGTGTGACTCTTACTTAGCTCCCTGGGCGCCCTACAGTTTTCTCAGGAAAGGAGCTTTCAGTCAGCTTTAGCTCCTCCCTTTCAAATGTGAGGGGTGTTAGATACCTGTGCTAGTTGTCCCCTTTCTGTGCTGTGTCCATATAAGCAGTTTTGAACAGGGTACACACATGATTAAGAAAGAGAATTGTGAAAACTCACATGGAGGGAAATAAAGAAAAGAATTAATGTTGACAGTGCACTGTGTTCTAGACACTATCTAGGCACCCGCCCGCCCCATCCCCCATACCAGCTTTTTTTCTTTAGAGTGCATATCACATCTGGCATAATTATGTTTTCAATTCTTACCTGTTTATCATCTTCTTCTCTCATTAAAATCTAAGCTCCGTGAGGGCAGACGTTTTTGTCTTTTGTATTGATCACTGGAGCATCTGGAGCCGTGGCACAGCAAAAAGCACTTTTCAAATAAATGTCCTCCTTTATTTAAAGAAAAACGGAAAAAAGGAAAGACTTGGGAAAGGCTTTAACAGATCTTTTAAAAAGAGATTGGATAGATGTCAGAGGCACTTGATTTGTAACAGCTACTTCCTGTTCCTCAAGTAAGACAAAAAACTTAGGTTTGGCTCAGTGGGTGGCAAGTGAGAGTCTGACACTAGTGTGATCTAGAGTGACTTAGGCAGGAAGTCCCGATTATTTTGACCACTTATAAAAACTCATTTCAGAACCTTTCTTTTATATCATTTTGTAAAAACTCCTTCCAGAAGATAATTTGGTACTTCTCTGACTTTTAGCTCCTTTCTCAGAAGAGAAAATAAGAGTAAAAGAGGAGTGCTCACTTCGGCAGCACATACACTAAAATTGGGACAATATGGAGATTAGCATGACCGCTGCACAAGGATGACATGCAAATTTGTGATGCAGTCCATATTTTTAAGAATTAAAGAGGAAAGAGAAGGAAACTCAGCTCAAGTACCACCTTGCCTTATAATCTTTTGTTTGAGATGTAAGAATTATTTGTAGGATATAGATTTCATTTAAAGAAAGTTGAAGGTTGGATTTTGGTCATTTCCTGGACAGGTTAGAATATAGTACCTGATTTCTAACTGTTAATAACTAATGCTTAAATTTTTAATGTTAGAGACTGAAAAAAATCTAAACCTTTCCCTTTTTGAACCGTATTTTCAAATTTATATGAAGTTATTTTTTCCTACTCGCTCCACAAATTATAAAGGGTGGCATATTTCCTGCATTGAGCTCAAATGAGTATACATTCGTTTAGAGTGAAAATATTGGCAGTGGAAACCAATTTAGAAAAAAATGGAAAGAGATGTACATAAATCACCAGACACTTGGAAGCGCATGTACCAAATCAAGAATTCCATGTTTTCATAATTTTGTATTTTCCCTTTAGAAAAAATTCACTTTCCAAATTGTTGATGGTTTGGCAGTTCCAAGGATGACATCAGCTCCTCCATTGCGCAGTATCTGCTTTCTTTTAGATAACGTGATGGCACTTCATCAAGTTTTGGTGTGTAAGCTGAGTTAAAAGCCAACTGGGTTTGAGTTTAAATTCCCTTAGCTGCTAAACCAAACACATTCGTGACCTTAGGACTATTTCTAAGCCCTCTAGAAAACACATATTGCACATAGGCTGCTTTATTTCTAGAAGTAGAAGTGAGCAAGTGAGGAAAAAACAACACTCCTTAGAGTTCCTAATCGTGTCTGTCCAAGGGCGCTGTCTCATCAGCGCAGAACTCCAGCCTCACACCAGTCACCCTCTTTTCTCTATCTTTACCTGACCCCACATTAAGAGGATAATAATCCTGGTATTGTTTCCCCACCTCAGAAAATCACCGATAGTTACCCAAGCTATAGTCTCTCTCAACAGTCAGGGGCAGCTTCTGACCATCGATGAGGTGGTGATGAAAAGATAATACTAGAAATTAGGCTGTTATTGGGGAAGAGAAAAGCAGTCTGTGAACAGTACTAACAACTTTCCTGCACTGCCGACAAACTCCCCTGTGACGCCAGGTGAAACACTTGCATTCCAAAAGTCTTGTCTGTCACCCGCCTCTAAACCAGTATTTCACTAACCTGAATGAGCACAGGTATCACTTAATTCAGTTGGGTTGGGCCGGGGCCTGAATTCAGGATTTCTAACAAGCTCTTGGGTGGTGCCAATGCTGCTGATTCTCTGATTGTACTTTGAGTAGCCAGTTTCTAGTCTAGAAGGACTTACATTTGATTTGAAGCTCAATGTTTACAATTTAAAATATACGCATAAATATTTGATTTAACACTAAATAAATATTTTTGTGAGATATCCAGTTGAAGACAGAGATACAAGACCTTAAATCTGAGAACTGTTTTACAGGTCTTGATAAATTTCCACCCAAGTTACTATTAAGGCCAGTTGGATAGCAGTTTATACAGTCTCTCTCATTGTCCAAATGCCAAATTGTTTTCTGATCCTAAAGTAATCTAGTGTTTGGTTAAAAAAAAATCAAAATATATTCCAGCCAGTGAGGAGTGAAGAGTTTAGAGCTTATTTCAGAAGTTTGGCTCCTTTTTCCTTTTGTTCCTGATGTTCTCTTTCTGCCACCATTCAGAAAGAAAACCCAAGCTTCCAAAAAATGGTGGTGAACTGAGTATTTACCACCCAGGAAGTGGTTCCCAAGTCAAGAATGAGGTAGCCAACTTCCTCAGAGTTCTCCCCAAATTCTCTGAGAGGCTGCTTGGGTTGTGGGCTCTGACTCCTTTCAGGTACCTCCTCTGATCTCGCAGCGTATTGGGGATGAATATAAGCCAACTCCAATGAATCCCCAGAGAGAATGCATGGAGACACTAGGTGACTAACAGAGCTACTTCTGTGTGAAAAGTAGGGAAACTCCCCAGGTTCATGCCTTTGTAAATGACTGAGAGGTTACTCTGGGGTGGGTTTTGACGTACATGCATCCATCTGGCTGGTTAAAGCAAGAACCGGGACACCTGTTTCTCTGTCTCTCTGTCTCCGAGGAACATGGAGTATCCTCATTCAGTGTCCCTGTGTGAGTTCATCATGCATCCTGGACTCAGAAAGCTTCTTTTCTCTTCTCACCTCTCAAAAATAAAAGCATAAACATGTCTCCAATTTTAGAGCATCTGAGAAAAATATCTAGTCACTTGCCACATTTAGAGGGAAAATGGTAGAATTTGATTTCCTATAATATTGCAAAGAAGAAAACCTATTCTTTTTTTCCCCCATGAATTGATGCCTTGGTTTGGAACATCCTAAGAGGATTCAGGATAGTGAATCCTTTAAACTGTATAGAGATTAGAAACAAACATTACATGCGTTATTTAATTTAAAAATAAAATATAGAATTTTATATTCAGTATCATCTCAATTATGTACAGAAATACAGGCATCAAAACAAGATTAGAAGGAATACACCAAAATGTTATGATTGTCCATTCGCTTTGGAGAATGCAGTTATAGATGATTTTTATTATCTTTTTCATTCTGTTCAGTAAAGCCCACTTTTTTTTTTGCAAGTATACACTGTTACTTTTGCAATTCACCAAAAAAAAAAAAAAAGAAGAAGAAGAAAAAGGAAGCAAAGCAACCCTGTGATCAGGTGAAAAGTCCCTGAGCCTGCACCCTCTCCCACCAAACATGTCTAAACCTCTGTTCTGGAACTTGTGTCTGTAGTTGTTTGATGTTTTTATGTGGTATAGATCTGTGTACTGCCTCAGTGACAGGAATAAATTAGAGTGGCTCGGTAAAGACCAAACTCATCAATTTTTCCCAAATCTGTATTTGATTAATTCTACAAAGGTCCAGGTCAAAGTTATTCCTCAAACCTTATTATTTTAATAAAGAAGCCCAAAGTTTCCACGTTTGTCAGGAAATTCATTATCACTGTAGAATAGCAAAAGGTCACAAAATGTCTCCTTCCACAATCAAATAGCACATAAGAAAAATTTCTTTTTCTCAACAATTCATTACCCCAGCAAAACCAAGAGAAACCTCTGACATTTGCTTCAGGGGAAATAAATGTTCCATAGATCATGGAGAAAAATGACAAACAAATTAATGAGAAATAAATACACTCCTGCAGTGTAGCCAGCCATGCCAGACCAAACACAAGTCACAGTCAGCTCTTAGTCCAGGTCTTCCCAACTCTGAAGAGTGACAGTTTCCATAATGGCATCAGCACTTCAGTTACAGAAAGCTGTACACACACCAAAGAAACACAAATTAAAGAAACATGTGGTGAAAAAACAGAAAGAGAAATTCTATCATTTCATGCAAATTTAACTGGAGTGGGAAAGTCATTGCTGGCAAAGCATTATTGAAATCTTGAGCTAATAAGTGGAAGCATTCTAGAAGTTATTCATCCCCCCCTTCATAATGCTTTATACAAAATCGTAAGTTGACTGAATTTAGCAGTGCTCAATTTTCTCACATCCTAAAAATTCCTTTCTTTAATTCAGCCTTATTCTGGGCATCTTTTTCTTCATCTCTAAACTTTGTCAAGGAGTAACTTACATGTGCTTTCTCCATATTGTCAATTTCCATTTATTTACAAACTATATAATTTTAACACCAAGTATATTTCCGTTTTCATGTTTTAAAAAAATACAAGCAGGGAGGGGTGTAGCTCAGTGGTAGAGCACATACTTAGCATGCTCAAGATCCTGGGTTCAATCCCCAGTACCTCCATTAAAATAATAAATAACCTAATTAACCCCCCCAAAAAAAACCCACAAGCAGTACCAGTAAAGCCAAAATTCACTATGACCCCCAGCTCCAGTCCCCTCCCCAGAGATGACCACTGTTAGCAGTTTTGTCCTTTTAGACCACTGTAGATGTACTTATGTAATATGGACTTATGGAGTTATGTATGTATGTGCATATATAAAATACTTTTAGGGCATAAATGCTATCATAAAGTGTACTTTTTTGCCATACTGTTTTTGTTTCTTGGTGTTTTTTTTCTTTTTTGTTTGTTTGTTTTAACTCAATGATCTACCTTGCAGATCTTTTTAGGTCAGGACATATAAAGCAGTGGTTTTCAGCTGGGAGCCATTTCTGGAGACATTTTTGATGGTCACAACCTGACTTCAGGTACAACTGACATCTAGTAGGTAGAGACCAGCGATGCAGGACATCCCACCCCAAATGTCAGTAATGCCAAGGTTGAGAAACCATGATATGGATCTACTTTATTCTTTTAGCTGCTGCATAGTGTTCTGCAGTTTATTTCACTGGTCATGCAAGAATGTACATTTAGATGAATTTTCCAAAACATGTTTATCTGTGCCCAGTAGTGAGTGTTTCTCCCATTTACTTTTCACCCAACCACAATCTGCCTTCTGCCCGAAATATCCCCTAGGTTACCAGTAGCCTCCTAATTTCCAAATCCCTTGGCTCCTTTTCTGGGTGAGGTGACTTGGCCTTTCTGTCACATTTGTGCTCATCACCCTTCTCCGGGAAGCATGCCCTGCCCCACCCTCTGAGTCTCTGCCCTAGCCTTTCTGCTTCTGTTGCCCCAGTTCACTCTCTCTGGCTGGTCAACCACCACTTCCTGAGCTCTGGCTGTCCTCCAGGCACTGTGCTAGGCATCAGGGATCTGAAGGCGGACTGAGAAGTCCCTGCCCTGGAGACCCTCTGGTCCAAAGATCAAGTAGGTACAGGAGTCGCACAGAGCAAAGCACATCCTGGTCAGGGTGTATGCAAAGTTTGCTGTGGGACTGAATGATTAAAGTGTGGAAGTTGTTTGTTTTTTTAAATATAAGTAGCTTAATATGCAAACATCTTTTAACATAATTTTTGACAGTACCATTTTTGTCATTTTTTTGTCAGTATCATTTTTTTAAATTGAAGTAGAGTTGATTTGCAATGCTGTCAAAGATTTTAAAGGACAATAGAAAATGTTTTTCCTTCACA